TCCAAAGTTCTTTTTTTTTTTTTTCATAGCTGAAATCAACTCAAAACCAAGACTTTTCATAGAGAGGTGAAATTCCAGCCCGCTTCTTCATGTTTGATCTAGAAAGGGATTGAAAGGCCACAAAAACTAATCTCACCTACTTGAGAGGAAGGGCTTTGATTTCTTACAAGGACACTGGGCAAACACACCCACCTGTGTGCAGCCACCTTCTGTCAGTTCACTGGGAAGATGGCACTGACATTGACCGCTGTTGATCTGGTAGGAAATGTGCAGATAAAGAAAAGAGAGATTGTAAGTCTTGTCTATCCACAGTCCCTTACCTACAACCGCGTCCTGCAGATCCACAAGCAACACCTTTCTCCAGTGGTGACGGCGTACTTCCAGGAGCCCTTGCTTCTCCACCAGGGGCACATGCAGTGGCTGTTTGATTCTGAAGGAAACAGATACCTGGATTTCTTTTCCGGGATTGTCACTGTCAGTGTTGGTCATTGCCACCCGTAAGTATCCTTAAAATCCGGAGATTTTCCACTCCAGAAAAATATAGCGAAAATAATCATGTTAGTGACTCAGAACCCTTCACTTGCTTACCCTGGTTAAAAAATGTCTCCTACAGATTGTGGGTGACATACTCCTCGCTACTTCCCGGGTTAAAAATCTGGACGCTGCACTTTCTCTTTTCTTGACAGTGCTAGCTTTTGTCACTGTCATTGCCCATGCAGAGTGGCATGTGCCATGTGATGGCAGTGTTGCTGTGTGTGTTTGTCTAGTAACAGCTTTCTAAAGAGAGGAATGCACTGAGGAAAAGGCAGAAAGGAAGGAAAAGGCAGGCGGGTCTCAGGAAACCCAGGGACAGGTGTGTGGTGGGGGATGATGAGAGATGAGAAATAACTTCCAGCCGGGGGATCTTCTTCATGGATTCTGAGAGATGGATGAGGAAAGAACGAATCGGAGACAGATGTAATCCTAGCTGGAAATTCACTTGGAAATGTATGGATCAATTCTCTTGAGATTGTCCACAGCATGGATCATCAATTCACCCACACAAATGCCCTTTGCGTGTTCTCGTGTGGTCCTTTTAGTTTCCATGAAGCCATCTCATTTTAATATCTACTCTGTCCTGCCTTTAATAATATGACCAATAAAACTCACAGTAAGTGGGAAAAAAAAATAAAGGAGCAAGTCTAAAATAAGTTGAATAGGTTTGGGCCTGTATTAGTCCATTTCTGTTGCATATAACAAAATACCTGAAACTGGGTAATTTATAAAGAAATAAAATTTACTTCTTACAGTTCAGATTGTGGGAAGTCCACAGTCCAGGGAGCACATCTGGTGAGGGTCTTGTTCTGGTGGGAGCTCTCTATGGGGTCTTGTGGTGATCAGGATGTCACGTGGTAAATGGCTGAGCAAGAGAGAGCTAACCTCCTCACTTGCTCTCCTTTTAAAGCCACCAGAACCACACCCATGACCACCCATTAAACCACCAACTTACTACTCTATGAATGAATCAATCCATTCACGAGGGCACAGTCCTCACAATCTAATCACCTCTTCAAGGCCCCACTTTTCAACCACCATAATAGAATTTCCCACCCTCTTAGCACTATTACAGTGGGGATTAAGTTTCCAATAGATGAACCTTTGGGGGACACATTAACCCATAGCAAGGCCTTTTGTCAAAGCAGGAAGCAGAGGGTCTCCCTCCCTCGAGCAGCTGTCAAGAGCTAAGGGGTGGGTTGTGCCTCTGAGCCCAGCTCTCACCTTCTCCTCCCATTGCTTCCTCCTCCTTCTTTAACAGGCACTGGTCCCATGCAAGGTCCCAAAGAGCATCCAAAATAAGTTTCAGATGCAAATTTAAAATATACAATGAACATGCATGAAAGAAGTAGAGAAAAGTGGAGTAGAGAACAATTTTAAACATTCTTATTGAATGCTCCCAGTAACATTTGACACTGTCCCTGTTATTTGACCCCTCTTAGTGGCTTTCACGACTTTTGTGCTTCCCCTGAGCTCCATCTGACCCCCTAACTCAGGTGTCCCCGGCTTATTCCTTTGCCCTCTGCTCTTCTCTCTTTACTCCCTTCCTCTCTGATTATTTCCCACCATATAACTGGTCCCACCCCATCTTCTCACCCCTGTTCATTTAGTTACTACATTTCAACAGCATAACTCAACTCTATATCTTCAGCCTTGGGCCCTCACCAAGCTACAATAATAACTCTAATAATTAACCCAGTGTGGGCATTCAGAGCCCTGTATTTCCCCCTGCCCTGTGATGTTCCACCATCAGCTCAAATTCAACATTTCTAAGACTAAATGCATCATCTCCACAAAACTGTTTCTATTCACTTATTCATTTATTCAGGGAGCACTTATGAACCACCTAGCCTGGGAAAGTCCTCTACTAAGAGCTGGGAAACTAGACAACTGGTTGTATTTCTCAACTAATCCTAGGGGATCCCCAGCATTCCAGGCAAGAATGTTGACGTCATCTTTGATTCCCCATAGCCAACCTGATGCCAAGGGCCAGTTTTCCCTCCACTGCAATGCCTTTCCTACGAGCCCCTTTTCCACCACCTCCCACTAACACCAGTCTTGTAGGAGCCCTTCTCCTCACGTACCTGGAAGGCCACCTTGACCACCTAGCTGGCCTCTGCATTACTAGTCTTCCTCTCTGCATTAGCCCTTCACGTAGCCCTCACATTTATTTTACCAAACAATGCTTGTCGAGTGTCTCTTCTTTTTAAGAGTTTACTGATAATTTACAACTTTCTAACATAAAAGTCATGGAACCCCAATCACAGGAGCATTTCCAGGGGAAAAGTTCCTGTGAGAAAATAAGTTTGAGAAACACTTTAAACTATATCTCCCTCCTGGAGAGGAACAGTGCACATTAGCCTATTAAAGGTACTAACAAATCCTGCAGTAAAAAAAAAAATCTGTTTGATCTGGTATTTCTCAAAATTATATACCCACCAAACTGATTTTTTTTTTTTTGGTGTAAAAGATATTAATAACGAACAGAATTGGTGTGTAACAAACTTTAGCAATTGCTGTCCTTTAGACTCTGTTTGATCTGGTATTTCTCAAAATTATATACCCACCAAACTGATTTTTTTTTTTGGTGTAGAAGATATTAATAACGAACAGAATTGGTGTGTAACAAACTTTAGCAATTGCTGTCCTTTAGACCAAGTTCAAACACCTTGGCCTGTCTTTTCAAGGCCTTTCTAGTCAGGTCCCACGTATCTATCTACCCCTAGTTCCTACTGTCCCTCAAGATGAACCTTCTGTTCCTGTAAAGTTGGCCTGATCCTTCCAAGAATGTGGTTTCATAGCTACAAAATGTTCATCAATACTGACCACTGCTTGGACCCAGATATTGGAATCTCCTCTGAAGAAGAAACTGTTGGTTTTTGTTCATGTGCTTCATGGAGTTATAGTTCTTTAGAGAAATGAAATGGGAAGATGCGCAGGCTGACATGTAGTCATTTCTGTTTTTCAAACTGTTCAAAGGATGATTATCAATCAGAAAACACAGTGAGAAGAAATTCTAAGCCCAAATCCCCTCCTGAACTAAGAATTTCTTTTCTAAAATCCCTCGCAGACAAGCACTGAGTCTCCTTTTGAACACTTCTCTTGGAGAGGAATTCATTATCTGTGGAGGCAACACATCCCATCGCTGAACACCTCTAGTGGTCAGAGAATTTTTTTCTCAACTGTGGATGAAATCTGCCTCTTGAAACTCTTTGAGGAAAAGCAGCATGTTTGAGTCCAGTAGCCAGTGTGAGGGTTGGAGGGACGTGCCCTGGCAGTGTGGGTAACTCTGCTCTCCTGTTCATCCAGAAAGGTAAACGCAGTGGCACAAAAGCAGCTCAGCCGCCTGTGGCACACAAGTTCTGTCTTCTTCCACCCTCCAATCCATGAATATGCAGAGAAGCTTTCAGCACTTCTTCCTGAGCCTCTTAAGGTAGGATGCCCCCAGCTCAAAGGAACAGGAGTCTCACGATCCCAGGGGAGCTGCCCTAGGAATCGGAAATATAGGCAGGGAATTTGGTCTGTGCATTGAACATCTTAATGGTGAGCTGATAGCTACATCTGAAAGCAGTCACGTAGAAGAAAGACCTCACTGGTGACACAAGCCAATGCTCACTTGCATCACCTCTGAGCCTCTTCCCCTCCCTGGTTGTGCTCCTCCCCATATCTTTGCAGAAGCCACTCACCAAGAACCCCAGTCCTCCTGATGTTCTCATCTGTGTCCTCAGGAGGGCTTCATCTCCTTGCTCCACAGCCCCTCTGCCAAATTATTTGCATTTCTTTATTTGCAAAGAGTGGAGCCATTTTTTATAAATGCCATTAGGTTCATTTGGGCTTAAATGCACTTAGATATTTTTGCTCCATGAGATACTTTCCTGCATCTGAAATAACTGAATGTTTAAACTGAATTGAGATGTTAAAATGTTGGCTGAGATTTGCATTTAGACAGGAAATTAGTTAACATGTATGAAATACTTACAATGGTGCCCAGTACCTGGTATTAGCTATCATTATTTTACTTGATTATCTATACTATCTAGATAGATGAAGAAACTCAGAATAGCCCCAACCTAACTTCAGTCCCAGATGTTCATGGGAGAGCAGTTGTCCGCATCCTTGTGTGCAGACTGAGCTGCATTTTTGTTCATTTGTTTGTTTTCTCAGCATTCACACATGCACACAACACAGAAAGGCTGGGACACCCTCCGGGGTTGCGGGGTTGCAGGGTCACAGGGCCTGCCTCGTTCCAAGCCTCCTGAATCAGGTGGGGTGGGTTAGGATCAGGAGCCAAGAGGGTCGATCTTCAGATCCACTCGGCCACTAACCCCTGTGTGCCCTCAACCAACCTCCCCATCTCAGCATTTTGCAGAGCATCAAATCTGAGGGAACATCAAAAAGTTCACTGGTAGGGCCGGCCCGGTGGCGCACTGCTACAGTGCGCCACTTGGGAGCGCAGCGGTGCTCCCGCCGAGGGTTCGGATCCCACATACAGACCAGTTCCTGCTCACTGGCTGAGTGAGGTGCGGATGCAGCACTGAGGGTTGCGATCCATTGCCGGACACGAAAAAAGACAAAAAGGAAAAAAAAAAAAAAGTTCACTGGTAGATTTGCATTATCTTTCAATTCTATTTTTCCACAAACTTTTTGAAGTACCCCTATAAAGCCAATGAAAACCCAGAATGTTTCACAGCTGGACAAATCTCTTGCCATTTTTGTATGTCTAGCATGTAGCAGGCGCTCAGTGAAGGGCTGCAGAATTAATACTGGTATAGTAATTAAGTGATGGGAATGCTAGATAACCCAAGCTGGTCTGTAGGGAACTCTCCTTAATAATCAGAGGTTGGACACATGGTCTCTAGCAATTTTGAATAAATTGGGTAATAAAGAAATAAATTAAAGCATGAGGCCATGTGTCTTTCTCTTCCCTCTAGGTCATTTTCATGACAAACAGCGGCTCAGAAGCCAACGACCTGGCCATGCTGATGGCGAGAGCACACTCAAGTCATACAGACATCATTTCCTTCAGGTGATCACATCCTGGAAGAGTCAACTCCAGTCACACTGACTTTCCCCAATACTAAATGTGTGTCTTTAAATTGTAGCATGGAGGGGGTGGGGGTTTTCCCCAGGGGCATTTTTCTAATTTTAAGTTTTAGGGCATTATCAATCAAATGAATTTTAAGACTGGATAACTTCATCCAAATTGGCTTGACCCAAGAAAGGGGTCCCTGGAGGGGTTACAAGCAGCTTGAGTCCTCATTGTGTCATAGATCCTCCTGTGGAATTAAAGAGAAGGCCACATGACAGGTTTTTAACTCTGAAGATGTGGTATGGACTACAACGTAGACCAAGCGGTAAAGAACTGTCCACACACAGAAGATCAAGGCTCTACTGCGTGACACTGTGCCCGTTTTAATTTCTTCTCATGATAAGAAGCCCTGGACTTATCTCATAGTTCCAGCTGCACTGGTTTTTCACCTTTTATTCTCCTCGGGCTCAGAGGATACATACGTAACTATGTATATATCCGCTCCTTTAGGTGACTTTTGAGAATCAGTAATTTAATACGTTAATTATAGACCCCGATGGCTATATTAGCATTAAAAATAATAGAAAACAAAGAATTTTGTTCAGAGTTGCCAACTTTGGGTAATTTTATACAACACATTTAAACAGATTCTTACAAGGTTTATGTAAAAAATAGGAGTAACATAATAAAAGTTGGTAAAATGAAGAAGTAGTCCCATTTTTAAACCTGTCTGGCCATCGGTTCTGTCTAAATTGAAAAGGAGATTTTCTTTTATCCTTACCAGCACGTCCAATGCACATTCCATATAAAATGAGCCTGCAGTTATTACAGACATAAGGAAACATTTGCTAGCAAAGAAAAATGGCGATAAAGAACTGTGATTGATGTTTTACCTGAATAACATTCCCAAGTATGCATTTCCAGATAAGTATTGATCTATTTTGAAGCACTTATGGTTCTACTGGGGTTCAACTAATGTGTCTTTTTATTGTTTTTTGGTGGTTGGCTGATACAGGGATCTGAACCTGTGACCTTGCTGTTACAAGGCTGTGCTCTAACCAACTGAGCTAGGTGGCTGGCCCTATAGCTATTCTTTTGAGTAGTCTTAATAGTTCTAAATCCTTGTTTACGGGTGAGTTTGATTTGGAGAATTGCCAAAACTCATTTAAATCAAGACTGGCAATGAAGATGATTTATACTAAATATGACTGGTTCAGGTTTGAAAGAAACAAAATCAAACCTGTGTTTCTTATATGCTGAATAAGGTGGCTTATAAGGCACTTAAAGAGAAGTCCCTAAAGATGTTGGGCAAAATATATTAGAAAATGCAGATTAAATGGACAAAATATTTTAAAATATAGTTCACTTAATGAACATAAAAATATAGAGAGAATATAAATTTCAATGTATATAGTCAATCTATATAAAATACATGACTCTGTAATCAAAATGTTTCCACAATGTAAATTCTAGTTCATAAAACTTTATTGGTAATTTCTTCCAAACTCTTTTTTTTTTCATTTTTTCATTGTGATAAAATATATATAATGTAAGGATTGCCATTTTAAGCATTTTTAAAAATACAATTTTGTGGAATTAATTTCATTCATAATTCTGTGTAGCCAAACTCTTGTGAAATACACAGACACACTAACGATATGACTGAAAAAAGGTGTTGGGCAATAGCTACATCACAGAAAAAGGTATTTGGCTCCCCAAGGTGACTACTTTGAAGACTAGTACTTGTTGAACCTATAATTTCTAGCATGTTGCTAAAAGACTACTTAATTACTTTACTTTTCTAATTTACTTTTTTTTAAATTTACTTTTTCATTACTTTAGAGTAACAGCGTAGAGCAGGTCCTAAGGTCAGAGTTCTTGGCCAGATGGTCTCCAAATTTTCTTTCAAAATTTCAAATCTATGGTACCGGTAGAAAAGATAAATACATTCGCCTGTGACATAGGCTTAGAAGAGTTCTTAGAAATGTTCAGCGTTGAATGTTAATGGCTCTATTTCACCTCCATAGCCCTTCATAGATTTTTCTCTTTTGTCCTACTCAGTGGTCCACAGGCCAGTAATCAAAGAAAAATGAACTTAATCCCATCCTACCACTCTATTTCTCTGCAGAGGAGCCTACCACGGAAGCAGTCCTTACACACTTGGCTTAACAAACGTAGGGACCTTCAGGATGGAACTCCCCAGTGGGATGGGTTGCCAATCAGTAAGTTTTGAGATTTTTGTCTTATTCCTCTAAAGACTGCTGTGGAATAATGGATCAGATTTTCCTGATATTAAGATTAGAAGCTAATGTAAAGCCTGTCATTAATCGGGGGCTCAATTCGACTTAATTGGAGACCATTTGGGGGAAATGTTTCTTAGAAAGGCCTTCAGAGTCTGAGTAATAATTAATGACAGGATCTTAAATTTTATTTTGCTTTTAAATAAAATCAAGTAAACTAGAAGGCTCTGAAAACCTTGCACAGAAGTTCTGTGGAGTCATTTCTGCACTCACCTTCTGTGTTCACTTGCTGCACCTACCTTTCCAGCGTTAGAATCAGATATCTAATCATTCTTATTCTTTCAGAAGCCCCTATCCACCAGACCCTCATGCAAGTTGTTTCCAGGCTAACCTTGAAATTACTTTCCTTTGTAGAGTGCCCACATAACTGATTTCTAAGAAAAAATTATCTCTTAAGCAGAACATTAGGTTTTCATGTTAAGTGTGTGGGAAGTGAGGGAGGAATCTCAAAATCAAATTAAGAAGCCCCCTTGCCTGGATTGCTACCACGTGCTCCCTCGAATAGGCTGTCTTGTGTTTGTGTTTTGCCAAACTCCTTCTCTTGTCATTTGCAGACAATGTGCCCAGATGTTTTCCGTGGCCCTTGGGGAGGAAGCCACTGTCGAGATTCTCCAGTGCAAACCATTAGGCAATGCAGCTGTGCACCAGGTCCAACTGCTGGGCGTGGGGGACAGCAGAGGGTCAGGAGGGGGAAGGAGCTTAGAACAAGGCAAACCATCCCTGAGTGAACAACTAAATGTGGAAAAACAGGGAAGGAAAGAGCCAAAGGAAGCAAAATTAGAGAGTAACCAAGTTACCCCTCACTGAATCAGCACTTCTCATGCCTGCTGTCACCTTACTATCAGAGCGTCCATTTGACCATGTAGAAAAAGTGTCTCTTGCAATCTGAGCTAAGCTAAAAACACAGACTCTCACCTAGTACTTATTTGAAGGAGCTCTATTCACTCTATTAGCAATAGCTGTGGTATCAATTTTAAAAGAAAACAAGTTGGGTGAGATTATTTACCAATCCCCAATGGAAGAAGAGAGGAGGAAAAAGAATACTTTTGGGAATCTCAAAACTCCAGTCAAGAAGTTCTCCAGGGACTCAGAATGCCAGCCAAAATGAAAGCATCTGTCAAATTGTAATGACATTCCTGAAGGCTGCCAGCATCTCTTGCGCAAGTTTTAAACGCAATTTCACAAGGAGACTATATATCAGTTGCATTTTTATTTGCATTCTTTCCCTATTTTTAACATGAGGGAGAGGAGGCATAGAAACAACATCTGTTCTTTGCTAATCAGCAAGACCCGCCTTAGATTTGTCAGCAGAATATAGGACCTTTTGAATAGCTGCCCAGCAGGAAGGAACTAAATGCTCCAGCCGAAATATCTTTAATGGAATAATAGTATGAGTCACTGGGCTGAGAGGAAGAATGCAAAATGGAAGTCTTACAAATCAGCTCTGAAAGGAAGAACATTAATTCAGATGAAATAATAGCAACACGGAGCGGGGAAGATGAAAGAGTGAGCACTGGAACAGGACAAGACGTCACTGGTCACAGAATTTAAAACCAGAAGGAAGTTTAAAGCTATAATTCAAACTCTCCATTATAAAGATGAGGAAACCAAGGTGCACACGTAGGAGGTAGGAGAGCTGGGATCGGATCCCAGGCCTTCTGACTGCAAAGCCCATGCTCCCAATACCTGTCCTATGACCAACCTCATTCATACTGGTGTCCTGTCAAGACAAACCCAAGCTGAAAAACGGTTCCCGTTCTGCTGGCCAGGATTAAGGAGGTGCATGGAGCCGAGAGATCTGGATTCCACTCCCAGCCCTGCCATTGCTCAGCTATGAGCAAAACTCCACCTTTTGCTTCAGTTTTCTCATTTGTAAAACAGAGATAACAACACCTGCCCTGCACCCCCATCACAGCGCTTCATGAGACCAAGGCAGACAATAGCAATGCCAAGTAAAGCCATGTCTGTGTAGCACATCTGTACAGCATCAAGAACTGAAGTCACTCTGATGCACCCCACAGACCTCGGTCTGACTGCAAACCACCAGCACAGTCCAGTGGACAGAAGCACGCTGCGTCCCTCTCTCTCCGTAGGCTCTGCATCCCCTCCCTATGAGGCCTTCTCCTCTACCTCAGGCTAACTTGAAAATACCATAACCCCATGGTCATCTCTCTAGTGGCATCTGGAGGCTAAATGATAGTGACAGACAGACATTTCTGCTTCTCCTAACTGTTGTCTTTGGCATACCTGAAGTCAGTTTTTTTTCTTAACTCATATCTTCTAGAGACAAGACTGGTTTCATATCCTTAAACAGGATTGGAATACAAAGAGTGACTCCAGCCTCCTCCAGTGCCTTTAGGACCTGAGAAGTGTTTGGTCTTTGTTGTAAAACCAGTGTATTCATACATGTTTACAACCGCATCCCAGCACGTAAAGCACTTCAAGTACAGAAGGTTCCAGTTCTCAGTTCTTCTTTGGGTTTGTTCACTGGGCACATACACATGCCAACCATAGTAGGGATTTTTTCCGCCTCAGAATCATGTCACCACTCTCAGCATGGGCTGGGGCCATCTTATGAGCCTAACATAGATGTTTATTATCTTACTCCATCCACCTTCCTCCCCACCCCCAGGATTCTTTCTTTCCAGGAGTTTATTTCAGGCCCTGAATTTCAGATGTAATCTTGATGAAATTCACGTCTCATCACCCACTGCCCTGCAATGCCCCGAACCTACTGATCATGCCGTTCTTCTTTTAGAAGACAGGTTTTGTTTCCCTTAAAAATTGTTGTTCTGGGCCGGCCTGGTGGTGCACTGGAGAAGTGCGCTGCTTGGGAAGCGCGGCGGCGCTACTGCCCGAGGGTTCGGATCCCACATACAGACCGGTTCCCGCTCACTGGCTGAGCGAGGCGCGGGAGCAACACTGAGGGTTGCGATCCCGTTGCCGGTCC